GGAAGGAAGGAAGGAAGGAAGGAAGGAAGGAAGGAAGGAAGGAAGGAAGGAAGGAAGGAAGGAAGGGGAAGTTTAGTTCACCTTTGTAATTAAAAACTCCACATGGCCCCACCTATATGAGTAAAATTTAACAAACATGTAAACAATTTAAGGACAACAAGCCCCCCAGCGTCTACGGACACTGAACTCAGGAGAGCTCAGCACAGGCTCTCACACTGTGCTGGGGCCTCGCTGGACTGAGGCCAGGACGGCTCTCCAGTTAGCACACGTGGGGTTCCATTTCTGACTCCCCTTTAGGTCTCGTTAGCTTGCTTGTCATGTGGTCGGTGTGGTGAGCAGATGAGATCATGTATGTCAGCACCGGTGATTCCTGTAACCTGCACAGGACAGACTTTTAGCCTTCTTTTCCTAGACGTTAAAGTATGTGTCCTTTGTGGATGAGCCCCACATTCGGATGGTGGACCAGCAGCTGCTCGGGAAGAGTCTGCAAGTTGTCAAAGGCCAAGAAGTTCCAGTAAGTGAAAACATTTCGTCTTTTTTTAGGAGATTTTTCTCTTAAATATAAACACTTGTAGATAGTTATATAAATCACAGTTGATGAATTTTAACAAAGTGAACATACTCACGGAACCAGCACCGAGATTGAAAAATTAGTTGTCTGGGAGCTGATGAGAGGATAAAATGGCTCAGAGGGTGAAGCCATTGCTGCCAAGGCTAATGACCTGAGTCATGGGGAAGGAAAGGACCAATTCAGGCAAGTTAGTCTCTGATCTCCTGTGGTACGTGTGCAGGCATACACACATATGCACACACACACACGCATGCACAAGCATGCATACACACAAAAATAAATCTAATAAAATTATTTAAAATTAGATGTTTTGGGCTAGGGGTATAGCTAGCCTATAGTAGAGTTTTAGGGTTTTGTTTGTTTTGTTTTGGTTATTGGGTTTTTTGAGACAGGGTTTCTCTGTATAGCCTTGGCTATCCTGGAACTCACTCTGTAGACCAGGCTGGCCTTGAACTCACAGAGATCCACCTGCCTCTGCCTCCTAAGTGCTGGGAGTTAGCAGTATTTATCCAGAGGAGGAGAGACAGAGAGAGAGACTGAATATTCCAGAAGTCCCTTTTATGCCTCTCCTGAATTGCCATCTTCCCTTATAAACAGTCCCTCATCCTACATCTAAAGATTAGATTTCAGGTTTTTGTTGTTGTTCTTTTGAGGTAAAGTCTCAGTATGCAGCCTTGGATGGACTGGAACTCAGAGACCTATTTGCTTCTGAATCCTGAGGGCAGGGCTGGGATTAAAGGTGTGCCACAACATTTAAGGACTGGTTTTATTGATTCTAGACTTGTATAAAAGTCCAAGCTAGGTACAGCTGTCTACACCTGTAGTTCCAGCACTTGAGAGGCTGCAGGGAAAACACTTGAACCCAGGAGTTCAGACCAGGCTGGGAAACCCAATGAGACCCTATTGCTAAAGAAAACTGAGTTGTATAGTAAAGACTCCGAGTGGACACAGTCTGTTGAAAATCTGACTCCTGTCACTCATACTTTTAGTGAGTTATCTGAAATTGCATATGGTGATAGTTCATTCTCATTTTTGTATAATTTCTGCTTCATAAACATTATGCTTATCTACCCATTTCAGCATGGAAGGTCATTTGGGAAGTTTCTAATACGGGGGCAAATGCCAATCATGCCATGATGGCAAACATCTGTTGGGTGATTGCCTGGAAGTCACGGTATATGTTTCGGTGTTAGACGATACCAAGAATCAAAGTGGCTGTAATTGTTTGTGTTCCCCACAGTTCCGGTCACTGGGCACCTTTGCCAGCTGTATTGATTTCCTGTGGCCACAACCAGTGACCACAAACTGGGTGGTTAAACAGTCGGTTTACACTGCAGTCTGGAAGCTAACAGGCTGAGGTTAAGGTGTTAGCAGGGCTCTGGTTCCCCCTGGAGGCTTCGGGGAACAACCCTCCCGCCAGCCAGCAGCCGCAGCCCTAGCTGAACCACCATTGTGAGAAACACAGACTTCTACCTCATCTCCGGTCTCAGCAGCCAGCTTGTCTAGCTCATTCTCTGCCACAGGTTTTTGGTGAACTTTTAAGAATGTGGCTATTAGATTCAACAAAATTCCCTTTTGTGCTTAGCTTGTGAAGAGTTGTGGGGGTTTTCTTTGTTTGTTTGTTTGTTTGTTTTTATCATGAATGGATGTGGAATTTTAAAATATTTTTCTCCTTCTTTTGAAATAATTTGTGAGGTTTTCTTTTTCCTGCTATGTGGTGAATTTTAATGATTGATCTAAGTTGGGGGATACTGGAGTTTGCACCTAGGTCCTTGAATATCTGGGCAAATGTAGCACTACTGAGAACTACATCCCATGTGACTTCGGGCCCAAGTCTTGGTGAGCTGCCAGGGAGGATCCTCCGCTTTCCAAACTGCCGGAACTTACTGGTTACCAAGGCAAGGTGTTGTCGTCATTATTGCTGTGTTTACTTTTTTTACGTTTGGGGAACCCACCACCCAGCTCCCAAATGAATGCACACACAGAGGCTTATTCTTTCTTATGAATGCCTGGCTTTAGTTTGGCTTGTTTCTTGCCAGCTTTTCTTAACTTATCCCACTACCCTTTGCCTCTGAGCTTTTATCTTTCTCTACTTCTGTAGCCCTTTCTTTACTTCTTTATCTGTGGCTTGCTGTGTAGCTGATGGCTGACGCCTGGAGTTTTCCTCTCTTCCTCTTTCTCTTGCTCCTAGATTTCCTTTCCCAGATTTCTCCTCCTATTTATTCTCTCTGCCTGCCAGCCTTGCCTATCCTTTTTCCTGCCTCACTATTGGCCCTTCATCTCTTTATTAGACCAATCAGGTGTTTTAGGCAGACAAAGTAACACAGCTTCACAAAGTTAACAAATGCAACATAAAAGAATGCAACACATCTTTGCACCATTAAACAAGTATTCCACAGCATAAACAAATTCAACACTTCTTCAACTAATATTCCCCCACAGCTAGGAATGTGTGTAGGCACGTGTGCACTTTGTTCATGTGCATGCATGTGTGTGCAAGTGTCTATGGACTCTAGAAGTTGAGATTACTTGTCTTCCCCAATAACTCTCCGCCATTATTGTTTTGAGACAGTGTCTCTTACTGACCCTGAAGCTCCCTAACTCTGCTGGTCTGGTTGGCCAGTGGGCTCCAGGAAGCCTCCTGTCTCTGTGTCCTTGGCACTGGGACTTGAGGTACACCCAGGGTGGCTTCTTACATGAGTGCTGGGGACCTAACTCAGGTCCTCATGCTTGTGTGACAGGCACTCTACCCACTGAGCCAGCTCCTTATTTTACAACTTTCCATTTTAATATGATGTGCTATTCTTCGTATTTATTCATAGGTTTGGTTAATAGTTAGAATTTTTGTATCTCTTCTTGGGAGGAACTGGTCAAAATTTTCATTTCTTATAATGCCCTTGAGGAATTTGGATAGAAAGTGAACTGTTTGGCTGAGTGTGGTGATAAATCCCTGTAATCCCAGTGTTTGTGAGGTGCAGGCAGGAATATCAGGAGTTCAAGGTCTGCCTTAGATAGTATGTTTGGGGCCAACCTGGGCTACAAAAAAAAAAGTATTTAGTCTTTGAGACGCTATCCATTTGCCATGTGATGGCACATAATTCAGTGATGTTCTGTGTGCTCCAGTGCCACCCGGTCAATGCCACCAACTCCAAAATTCTGCATCTTCTCAGAAAGAAACCCCACTCCGTCATGTAGCCCCGCCCCTTTTCCAGCTGCCCCTGATAACTACTCGCCTGCTTCCTGTTGGTCTGTCTGCCCCAGACATTTGCACAAGGTGGGTGGCAGCTGCGAGAGCCTTGTGTCGCACTTCTTTCAGTTAGCACTGTGCTTTCCAGGCTCAGCCGTGTGCCAGACACCCTGCCTGCATAGGTCACCTTTTGTTTTTCTACCCACTAGTTGGTGGATCCTGCGGTTGTTTCCGCCTTTCGTAAGTGGTGTTCCTGTGACCATTCACATATTCGAACTACGCAGTTTGAGTGACTTGACTCAGGTCTTCACCCAGAATAAAGGCACATGTCACAGAGACTAGGCATGACAATTCGGGCAGCTCTAGAAGATAACAAATGGGTATGCCAGGGTCTGGCAGGCACGGTAATAGTAGGAATGAGTCCACAGATACCATCTGCTGTGTACTGGGCACTGCCCCAGGCCCCACGGTATGTAACAAGTAAACATCGTTCCTACTTTCCCTTGGAAGACAACAGTCACCAAAGAAACATATTAACTAGCGAGATCTGTTTAGAAGGGAGAGGCTGTCCACTGTCTAGGAGTGATGGAAGCACCCGGGAGGAGACACACCCTCCAAAGGCAGCCAGAGCAAGGGGCCAGGTCCCAGCTGATACCTGGCTTTTCTGAATTTCCATTTTCAAATATATAAAGTGGAGACAAGCATTTGTCTTACAAGAGGTTCATAACACACTCAACGGCAGAAGCAGCTGCCTAGTCCTGATACAGATAAATAAGCAATAGCTGCTCCAGTCGCTGTAATATTAAATATGATTGCATAGGTTGATACAGCTTTCGAACCTAAACCCCAAGGGATTGTTGTTGTTGACTTTTTCAGAGGCCTCAGGCGGATATTATGAACCTGTCTAGGCTGTCCCTCTCTCTCCACGACTCACCTCCCATTCCTGGACAACCTGAGGAAGTGCAGCTGCTGTGTAAACAGGTGGCCCCCGGGTCCAAGGACAGCCCAGGCTGGTGCCAGTGTGGAAACTGCCTCCCGTCGCGGCTCCCAGAGAATCGCAGGGCCCTGGAGGAGTTATGCTGCCGGAGGAAGCCGGGACCCTGCATCACCACCTCAGAGCTCTTCCGGAAGCTCCTGCTGTCCAGACAGGCGCTGCAGCTCCTCCTGCTCTACCAGGAGCCCTTGCTGGTGCTGGAGGAAGAGGCCACCAACCGCCGCCTACGACACTGTGCGTACAGGTGCTATGCCATCTGGCGCTTCGGCTCCCAGGACATGGCTGACTTTGCCATCCTGCCCAGTTGCTGCCGCTGGCGGATCCGGAAGGAGTTCCCCAAGACTGAGGGGCAGTACAGTGGCTTCAAGTACCCCTACTGACATGGCTGCCACATTATGGTGGCTCAGAGCAGCTTTTCTTTGCAGACCTAGAGCCACATTTTCAGACAAAGGGAACTTAGTTTTCCTCCCGCGGAAGGTCTTTGTGTGCTGAAGACCCCGATTAGACCAACCCGCAAGCGCACAAGCCCTCTCCACATGGATGAGGACCTGACGCAGATCTGAGTCTGGAGTCTGACCCTGGGCTTTAAAGTGTACATAGGCTCCTCATTTCCCAGCCTGCTCTCCCTAAACTAGCCTGAGTCCGGTGTAGGTGGATGTCTTGTAAAAGTTTACATAGCTCTGTGGATGCAAAGGTCTAACCCTAAAAACAAACCCTTTGGGATTTGAGAATGCCCAGAGAGGTAAAAGATGGCTACCAATTCTCTGACATCCCCTCCCCCAAACCAACCCAACCCTCAAGACTCAAAGACATTGTTTTCCCCTCCCCATTACAGGCAGCTCTGGTGGCTCCATCCAGTAGTGGGTGTGTCCTTGCATCTATCTTAGGACCTTGTTTTAAGAGGCTAACATCTCCCCCTTCCTGTCCTTGGAACTCTTGCTGAGGGGAAGCCAGCCCAAGTAGAGAGTCTGGCTGTAGGAGGCACCTCTGCGGCAGGAAAACCCGAGCAGCTCCACAGAAAGGTACTGACACTGCCAGCTCATCGCCTCTAAGCCCGGTCACCACACAGGGAGAGAAGCTCCCTTCAGGTGATTCCAGACCCTGTTAATGTGTGACTGAAACTGCAGGGGACACGCTAAGCACCAACTGCCCGATCAACCCAGAGGAGCACCTTTCCGTCTTAAGTCATTAAGTCTGGGGGAGAGGGGTTGGCACCCAGCAATGGGACAAGAGGAGGACACTGAGACCTGGAGTCACTGCAAAATGCAATGCTCTCTTGGGCAGTTGTAAGAGAATTCATTAACTCAATTTAGAAGTCATCAAATCTAACTTATACAAGGTATAGTCTGATCCTCATTGCTATCCAAGGGTTCCAAGTGACTGTTATCAGAGACTGGTAAAAGCCACCTCTGTGTCTCTGACGTCCTGGACTTTACAGCCACTGAGTGTGGAGGCTGTCTGAGAGCTTCCTTCAAAAGCAGCCCAGACGTCCAGGACAGAGTGATTCCAGAGCCCAGAAGGCCGAGGCAGGAAGGCTGGGAGTTCCAGGCCAGCCTGGGCCACATGGCAAGACCACGTCTTTTTTTATTATTATTATTAAAAGATTTATTTTTATGTTCGAGTGTTTTCCTGCATGTGTATCTGAGCACCATGTGCATGCCTGATGTCTGGGGTGAGTAGAGGGTGTCAGATCCCCTGGAACTAGAATTTCAGGTGGTTGTGAGCCACCAGGTGGATGCTGGGAACTGAACTTGAGCCCTCTGCAATAGCGGCCAGGGCTCCTAACCTCTGAGCCAACTCTCCAGCTTCAAAACTATGTCTTAAAAAGAAATAATAATCGTAATCATGAAAAAGAGGGGGGAGAGGGGCTAGAGGGTAAAAGTATTATTTTCTGCACAAAAATGAAGACCTCCATTGGCATCACAGCGTCCACGTAAAGAGCTGGCTCAGAGGGGGAGAAGCTTGCCACACAATCTGACAGCCTGAGTTCAACCCCTGGAACCTGTGGGGGCCAACTCCTAAAAGTTGTTCTCTGACCTCCACACGTGCCGCACACACATGTACTAATAATAAAATACATTTAATTTTTGAAGGAAGTGGGTCCCCTTCCCTGTCGTCTACCATTGCCAAGGATATGCGAGGACAGACACAGGTTTGGGGGCCTGCCTTCTGCAGGACAGGAACTGTGAGGATGGTCTGAGACCTTTACGTCTACTCCAAGACTTACCGTGTTGAGATTTTTAAAAGCTAGACACAATAAATATAAGTTGGAAGGGTGGGGCTGAGAGGCTTAATGGATGAAGGTGCTTGCTGACAGCCGCGGGCCCGGCCTGAGCCACTCTGTGGACAGAGAGAACCGACTCCCACAAGTTGTCCTCTGACTTCCGCTGCGAACACTGACATGTGACCGCCCCTAAAACACGATGTAGCTTTTGAAAACAGAGACTTTTCCTGTAGTACTATAAAACGGCACGGAGGAAACCTATTTTTTTAACCCCAGAGTTGTATCTGGCTTTAAACTCAGGGATCGTACCAGCTGCACTAGCTTCGATTGTCATCTCTCCTACCTTTTTGGAGATATTTTTAAGAAGTGGGCTGTATTTGACTTCAGAGTTGAACTTTTTAGGCTAAGGATACCACAGGCATTCGGTTCTGTGGCCTCAGCCTTTGTCTCGATGCCTCCTTCCCAGTGTCCTCACGTCACCTTGTGGAGGCCTCAGACAGTGACTAATCTCCGGGCCTTGCCAGTGTTTTCTTCTGCTTTGGCCGCTGGTGCCCTGGTAAGGGGACTCTCTAGTGTGTGTGTAAAATGACACTTTCTGCAGCTGTGCCGATGTGTGGATCTTACTGCGCAGGTGAGGCCATGGTCTGGGGCTGTGAGCAGCCCATTTTGCAGGATCCAGTTCCTTGCTGCTAGATGCATTCTGTTCTGTCCACTACCTGGTATTCATGCTTTCCTCCGACAGGAGAGACGCTTCTTGACACAGATGGCCGACTTCATGTAAAACTCGAGGTGGATTTGTTTCTCTCTTTAAAGGGAACCATCTTCTAAGCCTTTCCTAATTTCAGGTTGGCAATGTAAGCTTTCTTAACTGTTTGAATAATAAAAACTGATTTAAATTCACTTATTTAAGTCTTCTCTTTGATTTCTTTTCTTTTTTCTAGAAGAGTCCTGAGTCTTAATGATTTCATTCATTTTTCCCAGTAGATGAGACTGCCCCTCCCAAGGATAGACAGACAGACAGACAGACAGACCGATATGGATGGATAGATATATAGATATAGATATAATTAGATATAGATATAGATAGCGGTCAATGATTTGAGCACTGGGAACTTGCAGCCTATCGTGCCTGTCATGTTGCAGAAGGCAAGTGATACTCTGAGGTCCTAAATGGGAGCATCTGACCTATGTGGGGACATCAGGAGTTCTACCTGAGAAAGGGACAGTTTAGCTAAACTATGCAGAGGAACTCTAAGTGGAGCAGGGTAGAGCATTTCAAGTAGTGCTGAACAGCATGTGACCTGCACAGGAGTGGTGGGACCTGGGGCGGGGACCATGATGCTCTTCACAGACAGCACGCCGTTCTGTTAAAATCAGCCATGAAGGGTTGTAAGCAAGAGCCTGGTAAGATCACATTTACTATTTAAAAGTTCACTCTGAGGGGGCTGGAGAGATGGCTCAGTGGTTAAGAGCACTGACTGCTCTTGCAGAGGACCCGGGTTCAATTCCCAGCACCCACATGATAACTCACAACTGTCTGAAGATCCAGTTGTAGGGGATCTGACACCTTCACACCAATGCACATAAAATAAAAAGTTATTTTTTAAAGAAAACAAAAGCTCACTCTGAGCATGGTGGCACACATCTTCCAGTACTTAGAGACAGAGACAGACAGATCTCTGAGTTTGAGGCCAGCCTGGTCCGCATAGAAAATTCCAGAGCAGCCAGGGGAATATAATGAGACCCTATCTCAACACACACACACAAATAAAAATGAAAAGCTATTCTGAAACTGAGGCTAGACCTCACTGGTAAACTTGTCTTTTGTGTTTGGGGCCCCAGGTTCAAGACTTAGTATTGAAAGAAAAAAAAATACTACATAGAATTGAATTCCCAGCAACCACATGGTAGCTCACAACCATCTACAGTGAGATCTGGTGCCCTCTTCTGGCATGCAGGCAGAACACTGTACATAGTAAATAATCTTTAGAAAAGAAAAGATTTGATTGATTTTTTTGGTATTTGTTTGAGAAAGGATCATACTGTGTAGCTCTGGCTGTCCTGGAACTCTGACCTCACAGAGATTCATTTGTTTCTGTCTATTGAGTGCTAGGATTAAAGGTGTGCACTGCCATGCCCAGCAAGAAATATTCTGAAAGTATTTTCAGATTCTTCTCTTTCTTTCTGTCAGTAGCACCAGGTGGTTTATGAGTCAGCCCATGTGATCCCAGAGTTCTCAGTGATGTCTCCTCCCCAGGGACTTTCCATTCTCATCTAGCTATTGTTGGGTTAGCTGAACCACAGCCTATAAATCATTCTAATTAACCCCATATGTACAGATAGATAGATGGGTAGATGGATAGATAGATAGATAGACAGACAGACAGACAGACAGACAGACAGACAGACAGGAGAAAGTCATTCTGTAGGTTCTGTTACTGTAGAGAACCCTGACCAATACAACACTGAATACACATTTGGGTAGATAAAGAATAGCCTAGCTCTTCATTGGAATATGAATTTATCATGGATAAGGACAAACTCAATCATTGAGAGATTTCAGAAAAGGTTAGCAGATTCCTGTATCCAGAAATCTAACAAAGGCTCTCTTTTAAGTTTTCCAATATGGATTTGTTTGAGGTAGGTCAACGAAATTGTGCTGAACAAACATTCTATGCCTGAGCTGCATCCTTAGCCCTTAGTTTTTGTTTTTCTGTGTGTGCTCATGTGTATGGGTACACATATGTGGCACATATACACACGCAGGTGCTCATGGAGCTCAGAGGACTGATGCTGAACGTCCTGCGTTATCACTCTCCACTGTATCCCTTGAGACAGGGTTTCTCAGGGAGCCTAAGACCTTGCTGGCCTTGAACTCACAGAGACCCGCCTGTCTCTGTCTCCTGAGTGCTGGGATTAGAGGTGTGCGCTGCCACTGCCCAGCTCTTCTTTTTAATATTTTTTTGACCTGCATTTTTTGCCTGGCTTTTTGCACGGGTTTGGGGATTTGAGCTCAGATCTTCACACTTGCTCAGAAAAAGCCCAAAGTTTCTGAACCACCTCTCCAGTCCCCGGTCCTTAGGTTTTTGGGTTTTTTTTTTTTAAAGACAAGGTGTATCACAGGCTAGCCTTGAGCTCAAGCTCCTCAGGACTCCATCTCCTGAATGTTGAAATTGCAGATGTGTGTCATCATGGTCTGTTGTGTGACAAATAATTCTGGAAATCTAATACCTGAGTTTAACAGTTCCTTAAAGAAATGAAAGCAGAATTGTCCTATGACAATTCTGCTAGGCACACACCCTTCGGGCTGACACAGTAAATCCAGCAAAAACAAACTGGATCCAGGAGGAGTTGGGGGAAGGGAAAGAATCTGATCTAATATATTGTATAAAGTTCTCAAAGAATAAGTAAGAATTTTAAAGTAAAAACAACCTGGCAGGGCTGTAGTGGTGCACACCTTTAATCCTAGCATTTGGGAGGAAGAGGCAGGCCGATCTCTGTGAGTTCGAGGCCAGCCTGGTCTACAGAGTGAGTTCCAGGGCAGCCAGGGCTACATAGATAAAACCTGTCTTGGAGGAAAAAGAAAACAAAACAAAAACCCTGAAGAAATGAGGGGATTTTCTTTCTGTTTTGAGACAGGAAGTCACTATGTAGACCAGGCTAGCCTCCAACTCACAGGATACTACCTCCTCCTCCTCTTCCTACCCTCTCTCCCATGGTGTAGGAGGTCCTTCTGTTTATGTGTTGCATTCATTGCTTAATGAATAAAGAAACTGCCTTGGCCTTTTGATAGCACAGAACTTAGGTAGGTGGGGAAAACAGAACTGAATGCTGGGAGGAAGAAAGCAGAGTAAGAGAGAGATGCCATGGATCCGCCAGAATCAGATGCTGGGAATTTTACCCAGTAAGTCACTGTCACGTGGCAATACACAGATTAATAGAAATGGGTTAAATTAAGATGTAAGAATTAGCCAATAAGAAACTAGAGCTAATGGGCTAAGTAGTGATTTAATTAATACAGTTTCTATGTGGTTATTTTGGGGCTAAGCTAGCTAGGCAGCTGGGACGAACAAGCAGCCCCTCCTTGCAACACCCCCAGGCTTCCTTTTCTTTTCAGAATCTTGTTATCTTTCCTTCTGAGCCTCAATCCTGGCCTTGGCTCTGCTTGTATACTCTGCATATTGCATATTAACATATTTCATTTGAAAATAGTCTACTGGAAACTACCCCTTGGTCAGGAAGCCAGGAAAAGGGGAGAATCAGACATTTTAGGAATTTAAGAGCAGGTGCTTACAGAGGTGGGATAGACCAGTGGTGGGGAAGGCATCAACCTTACTCTTGGCTTTGTTGGTGTGGGACTGCAGGCTGGACCTTGCCTGGGGTACTGATT